CTTTCCTTCCATGTGCCCCGTCCCCACCCTCACCCACCCTGGGGGGACCTGACCAGGCTCCTGGTCCCTCTGAGCCTTCCTTCTGGGTCTCTGACAGCACCTACCGCACAGGTTGTGCCAGGTGCTCAGTGAGCCCAGAAGAGGAGGAAGGTGATGGGGACTGAGCCAGCCTCGCCCGGAGGCCGCAGCTGAGATGGGCATCTTTCACAAGAACTTGATGAGCTTTCTTGCTGGCAGTATGTTCTCCCTTTTCTACTTTCTGCTTCTGTTTTCGTTCCCCTGGCCTGGTCCCTTCTGTCTTGTCACTCTTCCTTGCCTTCCTAGTTTCTTCAGCTGGACCATGGGCACCTGGATTCAGGGTCAGGTGCATTCCTGGTGCCCCCAGCCTAGTTGGGGAACTGGTGGCAGAATGAATTGAGGCCTGAGGTCAAGCACATGGCTCTGATAGTACAGAAACATTTCCTTGATGGAGCATTTGACATGCATTATCTTAGAGAATGTTATTTGAACAAAACTACACAGGTTACAGCAGAGATGGAGCCTGGATTCCAAGCCAGGATTTTCTGAGGCCACTGTCTTGAGGGTTTAAGATGTTTTGCGTCGGGGGCCGGGGAGGTGGTGACAAGAAGAGGCTGGTAGTTGTGCTTGGGCCCTTCAACCCTTTCTAGCCAAGTAGCTAATATTTGTCCAAATGATTCTGTTGCTGGAAACAAAATAGAAAATGTCATCAGGACTACCTGTGTGACACTGTGTCTGGCCTTTCTCTTTATGCACAAGTATTCTTTGTTTTCACTAATAAATCCTTTTAAATTCTTATATAGGATTTGCTGTTTAATTAGTTTACAGACAGACCCTAAGGAAACGTCAGATGAATGAGTTCTGGTTTAAAGTTAGCAACAATAAAAAGACAATACTCGCATTGCTGGCGCAGTTAGCTGGTGACTCCTCTGTCAGCCCAGGGGTGCTGGGGGTCAGGGGGCCTCCTCCGCAGGCCTGGCCTGGCCTAGGAAGAGAGTCTCACAAAAACAACACTGAAGATAGCTCTCAGTTTAAAACGAGCAACTGACATACGCACTTTAAAGACAAGCAATTCCAAACTGATCATTGACATTATTAAAAGACTTCTTTTATTTGGGAAAGAGTTTTTCCACAGTTTCTTTTAAATAGGCTGTTTTGTGGTTGCTGTTTATTTTTTGTGTTTAGTAAATCTTTAATACTTGTCTGAGAAGCTGACGTTTAGGCAGAGATATCCTTTTAGGATCTGTCAGAAGTGGAGAAAAAACATGCCAGATGTTACAACCCTTGAGGGAAAAAGGGTTGCAGCATCCACAGCTCTTTAGCAGTACCCCCATTTCATAGAGTGAGGTGTCCCTGTGCACACTGAACCCTTCTTTTCCTCATTAGGGGCCTTTCCGTGGACCTTACTGCTTCTTGACATCAGTCATCCCCTGGTCACTTAGGGAAAAACCTGCAGTTTCTCCAGGTGTCACCCTGGCAAGACACTTTACAGTATTTTCTCCAGCTCCCTTGGCCTGCCTGGAAGTGCGTCTGTGTTCAGAGTCCGTGAGTTTGCTGCCAATCCTGCCAGTTTCCCATCACCTCAGATCTGGGGCTGTCAGATGTTCCCCGCAGAAGAAGAGTTCTCCGTAGTTCTGAGGGGACACCCTTCTCTGTCCTTCCTCAGGAGAGTCTGGCTTGGCCAAGTGGTGTTTTCTCTGACTGGCCAGTGCACAGTGCGTTGGGCAACAAAAAGCTGTTGTTTTGACAAAGGATGTGCTTGCCTCACTTTTCATATCAGCAGCATGAGTTAGGAGGTCATTACCAATCCTGAGCAGGTGGGCATGCAGACCATAAACACTCTTCTATGGGGTGCATTATGTAAAATACATTTCTATAATTATATGTTGTGTGTTTTATCACAGAAGCAGGATTTTAAAAATTAATATATATTGCAATTTTTCCAGTTAGGTAATCCATGCACATGGCGAAATGGCCAAAAGGGAGAGGGAGAGGGGGGGGAAGGGGGGGGAGAGAGAGAGAGAGAGAGAGAGAGAGAGAACGCGCGCGAGCCCCCTCTGCCCTGGTGCCTCCTCAGAACAATTGTTTTCTATAACTTGCTAGAGATAGTTGAAGCTTATGCAAGCATATGTATAGAGGCTCTCATAAACAGTGTTAGCATTGTTTTACACTTTGCTTTTTTTGCTTAAATATATCTTGAAGATCATTCTATCTCATATAGTGCATATAGGACTGTATTTTTTTTTTTTTAACCATTGCAAAATAATCCTTGAGTAGATATGCTAGTATGCCATTGCTGGATATTTAGGGTTCTGTTTTGTTTTTTTCTCTTTGCAAATATTTAATGCCTTTCAGATGTGGGGACTCTCCGTGCTCCTTTTTTACATGTGACCAGTGACTCAGGGGATGAGGTTCTATATTTTAGGGCCCCACTGCCACCTTCTCTAAACACACTAAATTCCCTTGTTAATGTTTCAATATATTTGACACTTTGAGTGTAGGCCAGCTAGGTAGATAATAAAACAGTATTTGGCTATGTTTAATAGCTGTCTCCTCCCTTTGCGATGTCCCCCCAGCCTGAGAAAGCCCGGGTGTCCTTTAGGATTCAGTGGTGTTTTTTCAAGGGATTAGGCAAAGACTGTGAGGCCCTAAATCTGACCAGCCAGACTTGGGGAGGTGACAGCTCCCTCCCCTGCCTCACCCAGAGATCTGGACACTTGGTCTCTCCTCCTCATGGTGCCAGTTTGTTTTCGCGGTGGCGGGAGGCAGCACAGTATTAAGTTTGGAGACCCCCGTTGGTTTCTTACGTGGACCTGCATGTGTCTGCACGGCTCGGGAGGGAGTGTGGCAGGCCCCAGGAGGGTTCCTGCCTGCCAGCAGCAGGCTCCCTGGCCCTGCAGCCCTGTGATGAAGGTGGGCTTGCCTTCCAGCAAGTGACCTGTCCCAGGCTCAGCCCTCCTCAGTCAAGCTAGGGCTCGTGGGGCATCTCGGGGATCAGAGGGCCTTCAGTGTCTTCCAAAGCAGCTCCCCAACCCCGCTGTCCCTGAGTTCTTCCCTCTAGTGAGCCCCTAGCATCCAGCACCTGGCTACAACAAACACTGCTGATTTTGTCCCCGCTACTCCCCAGGTCTGGAAGTAGGGTCCTCACTGAAAGCAGTCAGGGCTCTTTGTTTTTCTCTAAGTTTCTGCATCCGTGTGTGATTGGAACGGAATATAAACTTTACTTTTTTTTTTTTTTTCCGTATTTCAATATTGGCTTTTTTCCCCCCTTCTTGAAGGCTCCCTTTATAACTTCTGCTGCTGCTGCTTAAATATAGATGTCTAAGTCCTCCTCCTTACCAGATTGTTTATATTTTTGAAAAGCCTTCTGCTTATCTGCGATTGCTCTCTCCTCTATCTCCATCCCCACATTACCGCATTGGTTTCGGTTGCGCTTTTTTTCCTGCCTTCAGTTGACTGGGTTGTGTTTCAAATGTGGTCTATCAAAATGTGCAGTGTTTCCCTCTTTTCTGCAGTAGCTTTGACATCTGTTCTTGAATTCTAGCCCACGTTATTCTTTTGGACTTGTTTGCCCAAGATTTGCTGTAATGCCAGAAACACTAAAGGGGAAAGTATGGTGTGGTATTCTCCCCTCACCCCCTAGTCCTCCCCGCCTTTAAAACTGTCTACAGTTGCCAAGTCGACAGCACACTGGATGTTTGTTCCAGCGCTCTGTCATCCCCTCTGCCAGTAGTGGCCCACCCCACGAGTGAAGTATTCACCAGCAGGGCTTCCAGGCTACTTCAGTATTTCTACCATAAAGGAAAGCAGGTGGAACTTCATGAAATGGGTGGAGGGAGAAACTCTCACCTGCTTCTTGGATGGCTCCGGATGGGTTTTCATTTTGATTTTCCTTGCCTTTCAGACTTTGGTAGGGTCTTTACTCTGTTGTACGTGCGCCTGGGGGAGGGAGAGTCCAGACCATTGAGAAGATACTTGGGGCAGCTACTTTAATCCTAAGCAGAATGTGCTAGTGTGTGTCTCTAAAATGGGCCTCTCAGTGGCTAGGGGAACGCATCCTTGAGCCCCTGCGGTCAGCCTGGAACACCATTCTGGGCCCATCTGCTGGAGGCTTGTTTGAAACAGATCCTTTTGGTGGCCACTCCCAGAATTTCTGAGGTCTGAGGTTAGGGCACGAGTTCTCTGATGCTTTGAGTGTCAGCTTGTCGTGTATAGCAGAGCCCAGAACCCTTAGTCCCTGGCAGGTCCTTTTTACAGGGAGCCCACTCCTGATGTGTTTCTCATAGTGCCTGTGTAAATATAATAGTTTGAGAACAACCACTGTTTCCAGGTGCCTCATTCCTGAAAGTTTACAAGATATGGGACATCATTATTCTTGGAATTTGCCTTGTGAAGGTTCCTCTTGAAAACAAGTATCAGGTTAACTTTAATGGTCCTGGAGATGATGTCTACCTCCGCAATAAATAGTTGTCGAATGAAAGCTAGTAAAGTATCATTACAAAAGACTCTGGGCCTGCGCTGTTGAAGGACAGCCAAACGGAATGCTGCGATGTGGAGAGCACAGAGTGAATCAGAAGGACAGAGCATAGAGATGTGACAGGAAGAGACACTCGTTAAGAACAGAAGTGAGTGGCTGCAGGGAGGGATGGCATTTGGGCATTGGCCTGACTCTGGTTTTAACAAAGAAAAATATGTCTGCGTGTACTGTTAAAGAAACAGTCATTTGTGAGGTGGCGTCAATACACACATCAAAGCTGAGTGAGTTTGGTTTTCTCAAACCAGCGCGTGGGGCTGGACGGGAAGCATGTGATTGTGTCCATTTCCCTGTCCACAGCCCCCTGCGCCTCTTCTGCAGATGAGCTGACAGTCCCTGGAGGGCCGGGGCTCTTCCCCTACGTTCTGGTCAAATGCAAATATGATCTCCTCGGATACAAAGTGCAATTACAATCTTATCTTCCCTTTTTTTTTGTTTCTTTCGACAGAGGGAACTCGATGCCACCGCAACAGTATTGGCAAACCGGCAAGATGAAAGCGAGCAGTCTAGAAAGCGGCTCATCGAGCAGAGCCGAGAGTTCAAGAAGAACACTCCAGAGGTGAGGCAGTGTTTCGTCCAGGTCTCTTTGAAGGGGTCTCATTATCCTGGTACATATGCAGAAGACGTGCTGTAAGCATTTCACTTCCGTCAGACAGACAATTTTCTTCTTTCTTTCAATTGCCCTCCGCCCCATACCAGCAGACTGCATGCATGCTTCCGCGTGGGCCGAGGAATGTGGGCATTGATAGGTTGTCTGAGCAAATTAAAGTATGAGCTGATTCCAGAGGCACACACAGGTGTGTGGCCAGGTCAGCTCCTCGAGCCTGTCCTGGCCTCTGGCCCCTGTGCTCCCTGCCCACGCCACCCTGAGTCCAGGGAGGATCACTGAGAATGAAGACGGGGCGGAGGGGGAGGTGGGCTGTCCCAGGAGGCAGTATGCCAGTATTTCTTGTAAATCAGACATTTAGTCTGGTAAGGCCTTTAAAATGCCTGTGTTTCCTGAAATACACTTTAAAGGGCACTGGAAATGTGCTCTTCATGCGCTCCTATTTTTATTTTTTATAAGTTTGTGTTTCGGAGGACAATGTTTAGAGTAGTCGGGGCAGTATTTTCCTGGTCTGCTTTCTAGGTCCCTTTTTTCTTCAGTCCTTATCAAAGGCTTCGTAAGAAATAGAGTTTTATGGACAGTTGCACAGATGTGGGAATTGCTTTTCAGGGAGCTTCTGCCAGTTTGGCCCACGATGGTTCTCGTGTCGTGGGCTCTTCTTGCCTCCTGCACCCCCCAACTCGGGGGCAAATGGCCTGCTGCTGCCCGCAGCTTTGGCCCCAGCTCCCAGGCCTCTGGATTCTTCCATGGAGGACAAAGGAACAGGCCTGGAAGAAAAGCTGCTTTCTGGGAGGGATGCCTCTAACTTTTACAATATACCTCATTTGCAATGTACAGAAATCCTGAAAAATGATGTGTGAGTTGAATTTTTAAAAGTGGACTCATTTTAAGTGTTCCAGAGGAGCTTGCTATTTAGGGAAGAGCTACTGTGAATCATTTGGGGAAACTAGCTAACCCTCATTTTCAGAATACATATGTTGGGAGAGAACGTGATAGTTCAGGGGAAAGAAAGAGGGCTCTAGGGGCAGATCTACCTAAAGGTTTTAAAACTGAGACCTACTACTTACCATCTTCACCTCACCCTGCCCTTAAGCATGAATCCCCCATATTTTATCCAACCAAAAATGCAGATCAGAGTAATTTGTGCCTGTGTGTTGCTGCCCTTTGTGCAGTTTTGAGGGGAGCTTGTATTCTCCATGTTCCATCTTGTCCTGAGTAAAGACAGGAACAAAGAAAGGAACCAAGCACAGCACTTCCTTCTGTTGCTGTCCCCCTCTCAGGCTGTGTCGGATGAGACCTTCCCAGAGGGTCTAGCAGCAGGGTGTCCCGAGCTTTCGTCCTTTACTTTGTTTCCCCTGCCCATCCTGTCATGTCTGCCTCTTGAGCCACTCTCAGCGCTGTTCCAGTAATCAGCTGTCATCTGCTGTCCTATGTTCTTATTGTCCCTCCTTTAATGACTATATGTCCAGGAGTGTTCATAGAAAATCTAAAAAAGAAAGGTAAGGTCATCCTTCTGAGAGGCTAGGCAGTAAAAAGTAAATCTAATCGGTCATAGGACGAGCTCCGTGAAGTGGGCCAAGCAGGGAATTGGATTCTTGGATGTTCCTCTGGAGTCCCAGAATCCTGTTAGGGGATAGGGGTATATTCCCTTCAGCCACTGAGGGCTGCCTGGGCTGATAAATTGTGATTGGACTGAACTGGGCCCAGTCCCTCCATTGATGTCTAAACAGGCTTCGTTTTGCAGGAACTGGGGACCAGCTCACATAGCTGGTATTGAATCCTATGCCAGTTACTTGAAGAGACCCAGCCTGAAACTGCATTTTATCTCCTAAAGCCAACAAATAGGCTTAGAAAGTGACAGCCTGGTTGGTAAATGCCATTTGGGGCATTTCTTCTCAGGGCACATTTTGAGACATTGTCTTCTGTGGAGGAGGGTACCCAGAAACCCTCGTGGAAGAGGATGGAAGTTGCCATCCGGCTTGTTTCTGGCCTCTGCCAGCTGTTCAAGGCCGGTACCCACTCGGGCTGCTTCCGCTGCAGTAGGGAGAGTCTTGCTCGAATCTCCAGCCCATGTCTCCAGGACTTGTGGAAGGGTGAAGCTGCCGGCAGGCTCCCGCCCCTGCTCCTCCCTTGCATTTCCCTATCCCAGTTCCATCCTGGACATCTGTGTGGGGTCCCTGTGGGAACCCTGAGGCGAGACCTGGTAGAGAAGACAGGTTCACTTATGCCACCAACCACAACCTTCTCTTTGAAATTTTGAAGCCACCTAAGGCCATAGCGGAGGTGGGGTGGATAGCTGCCACAGCTGGGGTCCTCTGGGCTACACAGAGGGAAGGGAGTATATGGGGGTGATCTGATGGTAAACTGGGGGGCTCTGGTAGGTATGGAACCTGGGATCTGGAGAGGATATTGGATTGTCATTTTGTTTGGGGTTTCAGTTCAGAGGAGACCAACTTCTCTTTGACATCAGCCACTTCTCCTGACTCTACTGCTGGACAGATTATTAAAAAAAGGGAGGAAACAAATTACCACTTACTGTGGAGGGAACATTCTAGAAAATTGCACCTGTGAAAATGAGGGCTGCTTAGGACTTTGTTCTCAGGTATAAAAAAGAAATTGGCTTGCTGGCAGGAAGGCAGCTCTTCATGTGGACATAGACTAGGATCCCCACGCCTCGCATGACTGGCTGAGTGACAATGGGGCCTTATTCCAGAGGAGCCAACTGAGGCTGACCAGGGCCAGTGGTCCTCTTGCTCGTGTTGCATCAAATGTGTTGATTCTCAGTGAAAAAGCTGGCATTGCTCTTTGTTCTGGGAAAGAAGAAAATGTCCTCTTACTGTCTGTTGACTATCAAGTAAGTCTAATATACAGGATTAGTCACCAGGGTGAAGGCAGAGGTGAGTAAGGTTTTCTCTCGACAGGGAATTTGTATTTTCCTAGACTGGCCCTGTCCAAGGGCAACTGAGAAACCTCAAGTCCAGAGGGACAGGTGGGCTCTGACAGGAGGCTTCCGGGAAGGCCAGTGGCGTCCGACAGACGGCTGTTCACCTGGGACAAGCCACAGGAACATGGATAGGCTGGCACCGGGGTGACCAGAGCCTTGAATATCTTTTGCTTAGAATAATTTTTTTTTAGTTTCAGTTTTATGTCATTAGATTAATACATTCATAGTCAGTTGATATTATTGCTTATATCTTTTTAACATCAAAATTGTAGTTAATTTGAAGGAGATTGCAGTGATTTTGCAAATACTTGTGAAGTTTTATGCATTTCTTTGATTCAAAATAATGAGTTCCTTTCAAAGAAAAACATTTTTAATTTTAATTTTGTAACTAAACACTCATTTCCTATTGAATTAATAATTGACATTTGAATGTAAAAAAGAAACTGGGAGGGTATTTCTAGGTTGTGTTGCTTTTCATATTATTTTTGGAGGGACTTATCTGCAAAAATAATATGGCTGTTGCCATTGGGCAAATTACTTAACCTCCCAAAGTCTCAGCTTCATTATTTATAGAAAACGTAATGACAGGGCCCAGCTCACAGGACTGATGGGGGCGAGGGGCGGGGGGCTGTGTGTGCACGCGTGCGTGCGGAGGAGGGTGTGGGGGGGTGTGGGGGGTGTGGGGGCTCCACACAGGCCTGGCACTTAGAGTCCAGTATGTGTTTGTTACAAGTATTAACTTACAATGTTTATTATGGAATGCATTAGATATAGCTTTCTGCTCCTCCAAAGTTGGTTCAGGGAACTTTAAAAAAGCAACAAATACAGGTAGTTTCAACCAAAGTGCTCTAAAAGTTGGTTTGTAATAACAGTTTTTCATTTTACAAATACCTTTTGAACACCTTTCATGTGCCAGACGGTTTGGCCCTGGGGGCAAATCCAGTTCCTGTTCTTAAAAAGTTTCTTGTCTTCATACCATGCAAGTAGAACATTCTGTCGCAGCGTGTTAAGTGCTAGGATGCTATAACTGGAATCTTCTGAGTGCAGACTTTCCCCCCAGAGTCACTTGCATATCCATGGTGGTAAGGCTCCAAGCCACATGCACCTCAGTAACTCGTACTATAGGTACACAGGGCTGCTTTTTTAAGCCTTGGTTCCCAATTTTTGAAATATTGATGAATGTTAAGGACTTGCTCGCCTGAAAAATGCACATATTTGCATGTAGTTTCTCTTGGACTCTGAGACTCACGTGGACCCCGGCTTAGAGGACAGCTCTGGGGAACACATTGGCAGTCTCAGCATGCCACTCTGGGAGCATCCTGTTCCTGTGTGTCTCCTCCTTTGCCCTCTTTCTAGCTGTGCTCAGATAGGGATGACAGGTGGGGCAGGGGCTGCGTGAGAGATCAGTGCCAAGGCCCTTACCTCTGGGCAGAAGCCACTCTGCTCCAACCCCCAGGCTGGGCACTAAGGTGGAGGAACTGGGCACCTCCGTTGTGGTGAGGGTCCCGCAGGCTGGCAGCAGGCACAGGCATCTCTGCAGTGATGACACTTCTGCCCAAGGCTGGGGAAGGGCAACGCCAGGCAGGTGGCAGTGTGTGCAGGGGAGGGGGAGGTAGTAGCTTTCTCAAGACCTTAGAACTATGTGCCTTGTAGGCGAAAAGCCTTGCCTTCTGCTTTTCCGTTGCTTTGATCAGAGATCTGAGGCATAGGTGGGCCAAGATTACCTTTGATGCCCCAAATGGCATCCCTACTAATGGCATCTGTATTGATAAAGCTGACTGCAGATTGGATCAATGGGGACGTGGAAGTATGCAGGTGCCATGCCAAGAAACCCCCAGTGCACCGGGCCAACTCCTCACTCCTGGAAACTGAGTTATTTCCCACCAGGGGCCATGAAAGGGACAGTACCAGTGTTTCATGATTCTGCCTAGGAATTGCTTTATATGTGTTTTTTGTTTTCATTCAGTTAATTTTTATGTTTGCTTCTCAGACCAAAGTTTGACTCGAG